CTGTTGTCCATTAAATAAAATGTATTTTAAAAACATCTGTTAAAAATATAAATGTAAAATTACAACAGGAACCAAAATTTATTTTAATTAAACATGTCAAAAACTATATAATATAACAAATGGGGTGTGTTTAACACTAAAGCTGACTGACTCATTGACTCATTTTTTTAATTTGCTCTATTATAAAAAATAAAAAAGAAATAGCTCTAAATTTTTCCATTAGGACAAAAATTCTTTTTTGTTAAAGAAAAAGCTGTTATATTTAATTGTTTAAATTCATAGTATTCAGTGCGAGATTTTAGCTATTATCGAAAATTAAAAATTAGTAACAAGAAAAATACCTCAAATTCACTTTGAAATAGCAAGTCATTGTCCATATGTCTTTCCATAAACGCAGCAGGTAGTTCATCTGCCGAAACAGGACCCAAACGAGGTAATTTTGAAAGATGATTTCCTGTTGAATATGTAAACATAAATAATAGATCTATGAAATATATTCCATAAACTAATTTATAACAGATATTTAATATAACATTGCATTCAATATTAAATATTTACAAATATTTAGATTATTTTAATAAATAATACTGTACAAAGTTTTTTCTAAACACTATGATTTATATTTTGAAATTTATTCTCAGAACAGGTAAATGACTCAACATACTAGTTGAGTAATACTGAATATCTAAACTTATCTAATACAAAACAATCTACAATATTTTGAAATTTTATTAATACTCAGAAACAACTAAATAACATTAAATGAAAAATAGTTACAAAATATTTTGAACACTTGTTAAGTTTATATTGTTATTTATTTGGACTTAATTTACATAAATTATCAATTGTAAACCATCTATCTAGCACAATTTTTAGCACATTCTTATTCCAATTGCAATTTTAATAGAAATTTGCAGGAAGGAAGTGTTGTAGCAGGTTTTTTTACAATTCATAATTTATGTAAATTAAGTAAAAAAATAAATAATGATCTGATTACAAATTACTTTATGTTGTAAAATACAATTTTTTTCCAATAAATAATTTCTTGCTTACTTAAAATTCTTTAAATAGCAAGTTTATAAAATTGCTCTAATTGTAGTCATTACAAACCCTATAATTATTCATTTGTTTTACTGAAATATAATAAATATCAGTAATAATTCTATGTATATGACTAATTTGCTTCATAAATCAAGCATTTTTAATTTTATGAGTATAATGAATTTTAAATTCCAAACAAAATTCCATAAAATATATATTTTTTGAAAGTTTGATGGAAAAAAAAAACTTACAAAATTCTGATAATTAATATATACACATAACTTCAAAATGCTAATAGAGTGGTCACTAATTCCCAAATATACGAAAAAAATACACAATATACACAACAAAGAAAAAAAATCCAAGTCTGCAAATGATTTCATAAATTTATAAAATGTTGTGTGCCATCACTTCAGATTTTGTCTAAGGAAAATATTAGTTGAAAAGTAAAATCTTAAAAATTTATACTTTCATTTAAAACATTTTAAGCAATAAAATAATTTAATAAATTACCTCAATTCTTAAAATGCAAACTGTTAAAATGCAAGCAAGTTAATAAAAAGTTAATAGCAAAAATTTCAGCATATGCAGTTCATTGAAATAAGTAATTGTTCTATATTTAAAGTTTTAAAAGTACCATCATATAAAATATTTATTTATTTTAAAATAATTCTAATATCATAAATTAGTTTATTTCATTCAGAAATTTTCTATTTTAAGTAAATATACCTATATAACTTTTTCAAAAATGTTTTTATCAAAAATGCATTATTTATCACTATATCTTTAATTCAGATAAATAATTTCAAGTTGAATATAAACATGTCATTCTGAGTCTCAAAAGATGGATAAGAAAATAGTTCAGATAATATAAGGTTGATGTAAAATAATATTTTTACATGAATCTCTTATATAAAATATTTATGTAAAAAACATCTGCTTGTCTTCTCTTACATTTTATAAATTTTTATATTGTAAAAATTAGTTGTATGAAAGTTATTGGTGATCAATCTATATCACCAATATATATATATATGTTTGTGTGTGTATGTGTGTATACATACATACAGTGCTTTTTTTTTCTAAAAATTACTTCTAGTACATATATATGGTGACTGAACAAATAAAATTTATTTTTTTACCAAGCAACTGCCAGTACTAAGTACCAGCTATCCATATTTTTATGCTATCCGTGGGTACAATGTTGGACATGTTCTGGCTGTAAAATAGCCCTGTATACACAGTATATATAAAACATTAAAACATTATAAAATATCAATGAATCTGAATAAAAACTGATTCAAAAAATTTCATTGATAATAAATGTTTAAAATATTTTATTAATGCATTTTAAAAAGCACTAATTAGGAATGTACCCATAGCAGAACTATAGTCAAGGTCATTGTTGTCTGAAACTGCTGAAATCAAAACTTGTACTGTACTTTGTTTTGTTTATAAAGTAAATTTGCCATTGAATTATTCAGAATATTTTACTAAGAATGTATTTTTTGATTTTTGTAAATTATAAAATGATCAAATATAATTGTAAATATGAAAGCAGGAGCTACCTAATATATTCTGAGACTATCATCTCATTCATATTTCTTACTAAAATATTCTACAATACTAGAATATAATTTTATTATAATAATAAAAAACTCATAACTGTAAGTGATATAAGCACAATCACAAAAATTGCCCAGAACAGTTTATATTTAAATGTATGTTGTTTTATTAAATAGGAAGAACGAAAAATACCTAACACAGATCAATGAGTTTTTATCATATATTGACAATATTTTAGAAAGGAAAGACTTTCAGCTAAAAAAACAAACAAAATTTTGCAACAAATGATAATTCTCATCTGGTGACTTATCTTTCATATAATAAATCATCATAAATATTTAGCTCTTGCTGTAGGTGACAAACTGGTTACCAAAAGTCAAGGATTTCATATACATGTAAAGTGGATAATGATTATTCTTAAATAACTTGTATTGTTCAGCTAATGTTTGATACATATATTGCAAAATGTTCAGATTTCTCTCATTAAAAAGCCCAAATGAGAAAACACTTCTCAAAATTTTACAAGTTTTAGGTATTTAATCATTTAGCTTTGATTTATATCACTATTTTTAAAAATAATTTTATACATAAATAATTTTGTATATTTTTAAATATTATATTATATTACAGTATATATATATATANATACATCACATACATAAATATTTGAGCTCTTCTAAGAAAAATTAATAATAAATTAAATGTAATATTACTGTTCCCTGTAATTGGATTCTGTTGTTCTCTCTAAAACATTCTGAAAGAATTTAGTTTAACAAGTACTTATTAAATACTTTTAAAATGTCAATTTTTCAAAGAAAATATTTCCTGAAAAAACTGATGAAACTTCATGGGTTAATTCCACAGAAATAACCAATGTTTTTTTGCCCGGACCGCATTTAATCAGAGACAAAAACTTATCTTCATATTCTTTATTTACTTACTTACTATGCATTTCGGGTGCAATGAATATGAAGATAAGATTTTGTCTCTGATTAAATGCGGTCCAGGCAAAAAAATGGCGGTTATTTCTGTGGAATTAACCATGAAGTTTTACCAATTTTTTCAAGAAATATTTTCTTTGAAAAATTGACATTTTAAAAGAATATAAAGAAAGCCGCACCATTGATATAATACATATCTATTACTTACGGTAGATACTTATTAAATATTTTATTTTAAATTTATCTATCATGTGGTGTGAAATAATGTGCGTCACCTAAGTAGCCCCAATGAGTTACAATGCAGAAACACTTATTTTTAAATTAAATATAACTCATTTGTATATTAAAATTTGATTTTTCTATAAAACTTCCAATTTCTAATAAATTATTTCTAACTCAAATTTAATCTGAAATGCAAGCTTGCAGTTTGGATTAATAAGAGATTGTTCAGATAAGTACTATGCTAAGCTACTTATGAAAAATTATAAAGTCTAAAACAAATTCAAATCAAGTTCTCTTGTTGGAAATTGTTTTCTTTCTTGACATATAGTAAGAAATTCTGAACAAAAACTGCATTCAGAAAAAATTAATTGATAGAAGAAAACACTTCATGTGCTGATTCATAAAAAAAAACTAGTGAAAATAAGAATCAGCAGTTTTAAAACAGCAAATCAAATGATGCTTAATCAAATTTTCTGATAGTCACATCCATTAAATTTATACTTTCAATCAAACAATAATAATTCAGAATAAGGAACAAAATGTATTATGTTTTTAAATTACTAAGCTCAGAATGGACCTTATAATACAAAGATTAAATAATTAAAATAATTTTTTCATATCTTTACTAAAAATCTCAAAAATTATTATAAATTTCCCTTGATATAACTTTACTACTACTACTCAATAACTTAACTACATCAATTATTCTAAATATTTTTAAAATATTTAATTAAATCATCATATTTTGTTAATGAATAATTTTTTTCACATTCATGTAAAGAAATTAGTTACATTAATTTTTTATAATATTAGATATATTTTTTATATTTGCTTCAGAAATTAATACACAGCTTCTTCTTAATAAGTGTTATAATACAAATATAATACAAACTAAACTTGTAAACTCATAAGAAAGATGTAAACTATTAAAATATGCTTATGTATGAATTACTTATATACAAAGTATGTGCGCACACACATATTTAATCATTTGCTCATTTACAAGGCTTCTTACTTTCATTTTATTCATTATATATATTTTTTATATTCTGTTAATTATTTTAATATAAATATAAAATCTTTTCAGATATTTGGTTTTTGTGTGTTTTTGTTTTTATTAATTTTAAAATAATTTTTTATTTTAAATATATATAAAACTAATGCAAGTTTATGACTATCTGAAAACTTTGTATTTTTTTAAATAGTTACATGAAATAATAATATTAAAATGAATGTACAAACTAACTGTTTATTCACGATGAATGTTGTTTTCAAATTATAATTTTATGCTGAGATTTCATATATTTAAAGTTAGAAATAAAAATTATAGTAAATTTCTATATAAATTTTATGCCGACATTCAAAGAATTCATTAAAAATCTATAGAGAAAAAGTATTAAAATTTGAAACAAAAATGTGATCAACAAAAGGAAAAAACTACATGCTGCTATAAATCTTGAATGACATCAAAAACATAAACAAAGAAATAATCTCAATTTAAAAAATGACTAAATTAAGAATAATTTGAGAAAGTATAATTGTTAATTCAAGTTCTTTCTACACAAAATTTTTTATAACAACAGTGACTACAAAAATCCTTTCAGAAATATCAAATTATCAAGTCGATCCTAAAAACAGGATCAGTCCACTCGGCATTTCTTCATGCAGGAAAGCATACGACAGAAGGCAACCATACCAAATATATTCACCTTTACCTCGAGGTAGGTGACCATTACGATGTACAGTTCTACGAATCAATGCAGTAAGACCAAGTCGCTCACCTTCTTCGTAAGGATGTCCATTTTTCCTCCTGCCGAACAAAAAACATTTAAACGAGTTAATTAAAAATTTAAATAATCTTTAGCTCGTAAAGGTTAATTATTTACCTGACAAGGCACAGTACAAGGACCAATACCAACACCACAAGCAAAACCCCACACACGACTCCGAACACAAAGACAAATGGGCTCTCGGCGGGAACTGGCGAAGGTAGAGCACCTATTAACAAAGTCATAATTTAATAAATAGAAAAAATAATTGGAAAAAATCTAAGTAACACATCGGTATAAATATATATTAAATCACTAACTGCGATATCTCCGATCGTGAATGGTGGAATACATTAAAGGAAACCGGTCCTTTCACTAACCTTACTAGGACCTCCGTATCATTCCTGTTTGAGGTCTGATGCTTTTTAAGGTTATTGTTAAGGATTTTCTTATGTAGATGATAAAATTAAACTTAAATCATTGTTTAAACTTAAAGAATGCTCAGGAGCACTCAGGATTTTGTAAAATTTAATTTAAGGCTTGCTATTTATTAAATCTGGATAAACACGTGGTACAGGTATTTTGGCATTGTAAACAATAAAAAATTAAAGAAAAAAAAACCAAAACAAACCTGTCTGCGTCGGCGAAAAGTAAGGACTCTGTTTCGATAACATCTGTAAGTAAAAACGAACACAACTTTAACAAGATATCAAAATAACATAGGAAGATCAGGTAATGACGTCAAAGTTTTATCTCATTTTGACACTAAAGGTCGTTCCGATCACGCGCTGGAAATATCCTCGTGCAGTCTGCCGCTTCCGTTAAAGGAAACAACGCCCATTGGCACGCCTTCCGACAAAATATTGATTAACATTCTATTTTTATTGTTTTATCGCTGAATAGAATTTTTTATTCGATTTATTTTTTTTAATTATTATTTACATTTACTCGAATAAATGCATGAATATTTTAACAATCCGTTCACAGAAAAGTTATTTTGTTACCGCCAGATGGCAGCACTAATTTTAAAAAAACTAATTTGTTTTCGTCTAATTTTTTTATTTTTATTTTATTAAACAAATTGTAATGAAAAGTTTTAAATAATTATTATGGTTAATTATTAAACCCTATTCTTACAGTTAAATAGAAAAAATTAATTTTTTATACTTACGAAATTTTTAAAAAAATTACCCATAAGTTAATTTTAATCAGATATTCTATTAATTTGAATAAATAAGTATTAAGAAAAATTTAAAAACTACAAATAAATAAATAAATTCACTCAACAAAACCGACAGAACGTTTCCCAATCTTTGATCATTTGATACATTCAAAGTAGTCTAAATGGGAATCGCGAACCACAGGTTGAAAAATAAAATTACGAGCGATTAAAAAATCCTACTCTATAATAATATATTCGTTAAAACTATATATACAATTAATTTTACTTTAAAAGAAATACTTAGAGTTTTCTTATTTGATGAAATTATCTATTTTAAATATTGTTTATTGTTTCCTCAAAATTTATCGACTTTAAGTAAAGAAATCGATAATTAATTTAAGGGGGACTCGAATATTCTTTATTTGATAATAATAACTAAAACACCTTTTTTTTCGAGAAATAAATATAATTTGCAAAAACAAACGTTTTCATCCTAGTTAATAGGCCATCTTCAGGTCGAAAAAATGGAACGCAAATGTTCCATAAATAGAACATAAAAATATTTAAATCAAAAAATTTTACAGGCAAAAATAACGGAAGAATATATAAACAAATAAATTAATTAATTAATTAAAACAGAAATAACATAAATCTTCAGTGGATTAATTCTGGTCGAAGTTTCTAGTATATTTCTTTACCAAATATTTCCATGCCGATGGTAGGCTCTCCGCATCTCTCGCATTTAAACAGCCTTCCCCTATCCTACTTCTGTATATTTCAATTTTCTCCGCCGTCATTNGAATATTTTAACAATCCGTTCACAGAAAAGTTATTTTGTTACCGCCAGATGGCAGCACTAATTTTAAAAAAACTAATTTGTTTTCGTCTAATTTTTTTATTTTTATTTTATTAAACAAATTGTAATGAAAAGTTTTAAATAATTATTATGGTTAATTATTAAACCCTATTCTTACAGTTAAATAGAAAAAATTAATTTTTTATACTTACGAAATTTTTAAAAAAATTACCCATAAGTTAATTTTAATCAGATATTCTATTAATTTGAATAAATAAGTATTAAGAAAAATTTAAAAACTACAAATAAATAAATAAATTCACTCAACAAAACCGACAGAACGTTTCCCAATCTTTGATCATTTGATACATTCAAAGTAGTCTAAATGGGAATCGCGAACCACAGGTTGAAAAATAAAATTACGAGCGATTAAAAAATCCTACTCTATAATAATATATTCGTTAAAACTATATATACAATTAATTTTACTTTAAAAGAAATACTTAGAGTTTTCTTATTTGATGAAATTATCTATTTTAAATATTGTTTATTGTTTCCTCAAAATTTATCGACTTTAAGTAAAGAAATCGATAATTAATTTAAGGGGGACTCGAATATTCTTTATTTGATAATAATAACTAAAACACCTTTTTTTTCGAGAAATAAATATAATTTGCAAAAACAAACGTTTTCATCCTAGTTAATAGGCCATCTTCAGGTCGAAAAAATGGAACGCAAATGTTCCATAAATAGAACA